CAGCCAGCCCTGCTTCCGCCGGCTGGTTCCCCTCCCTATCTCCCCTGGGCAGCTTCACTGCACTGATCCTGCTTCCCTGCGGCCCATATCCAACCTCTCCCCCCTTCCCCTCCACAGCCAGCAATAAGAGCTCACCTGGTAACCCTCTCTATGCCTCTGCCGGGAGCCTGAAACATACGGCTGCATCCGCCCAGCCTGGCTGAGGGCTTGGGAAACCCAGCGCTGCACGGGCAGTCCAGGAGCCCGGAACATTCTGTCAGCCATGCTGAGGCCTGGTATTTTTTCCTGCGGCCTGGTACCAGGCTGTGGCCCATAGTTTGGGAAATGCTGCCCTAATCTAAGAATATTTCTGTGTAGTCTCTGAAGTGCTCTTAGTCTCATTTGAAGCATTCAGCAGAAGGGCATGTTGCTTGTTGGCTGAACTACTTTGTTTTGACTGCCCTGTCAGTGCTCAGAACTAGCACACATATTCCCAGCAGAGAGCTATACAGAGCGAGTAAATGGAAAATATAAACAAACTAATGAGATCAATACAAACAGCAGCCACACATGCTGTTATGCTTTGTGTCACTGATCTCCCAGCATGTAACATGGTCATCCAGCAGTATAGTGCCTCTGAAATACGACCACCCTGAGGCCTACCTTGACGTCATTGGTAAAGACCCCGCTGTCACCAACGTCAGCAGTCTCCCCCTGATTGTAGTGTGCTTCTGCTCTGTCTGCTCACATTCATGTTCTGGTCCCAGTGGGAGCTCTCTAGTAATAGGGCTCTAGGCAATACACTCATTGCTTTGGCCACATTTGGCCTGGATTGACCTAAGTAGCTGACTGTACCTGGCTGAATTATACAGCTTTATTTGTTATGTCTGGACATATTCTCCCACCCTGCAGCTCACTCCTAGTCTGTGGCCGAAGGTTATCTATCTCCAAAGCAATGCTGTTTTGCTTTTTAAGAGCTGTCATGTTTCATCCTTCACTATAAATCTTCACTTTTGGATGCCTTATAGAGTGGTTTGTAGCACATATTATAGCCCCAAGTAATTACATCTGTACACTCATTCATAGGCCATCTGAGCCTTCAAATGCATCCTCCATGGTCCTGCTGCAATACCGTGCCACACACTGCCAATGGCAGACACATTTAATGGCAGTGAAAAAACCAGCCCAATCAATGAGTTTCTCAATCTTAAATCACATTTTGAGCCTGATCTTGCTCACACTGAAGCTAATGGATGTTCCATTGTGTTTGAAGGGTGCAGAATCAATTCCTTTTCTTAATTGTCTGTCGCAGGGGGGTCTTCTCCTCTTTATCCCAGGGGGTAGGATTTATGGCAGACACATTTAATGGCAGTGAAAAAACCAGCCCAATCAATGAGTTTCTCAATCTTAAATCACATTTTGAGCCTGATCTTGCTCACACTGAAGCTAATGGATGTTCCATTGTGTTTGAAGGGTGCAGAATCAATTCCTTTTCTTAATTGTCTGTCGCAGGGGGGTCTTCTCCTCTTTATCCCAGGGGGTAGGATTTCATGTCCCTGGTCTGTCTGAATCCACAACCCACCCCATGTGACCAGTAAAACACCTATGGTTAGGCCCCTCTCTTCAGGACCAGATGCCCTTATGGCCAGAGTCAATGTGTAGCCCTTTAAAGCAGGGCAGGAAGGCCTACTAAGGCAAAGTCAGTACATCAAAGTCAGAGCCTGGCACTTTAACGTCAGACAAGACAGCCCAATGGCCAGAGTCCAAGGTAAAGTCCAAGGCGGGTCCTTTAATGCCAAGCTGGTCGGCCCACTGGCCCAAGTCAGGGAATCAAAGTCAAAGGCTGGCCCCGGGCCCACCCTACTCCACTGGGACCTGGCCCAGGGCCTTGTGAGTGGCGGAACGGTCCACCACTCCCTCTGCAGGGAATTCAACCAAAACAAGCCGAGGATCTCGGGGGAAGGAGAGGCCTCTCCTGCTCCCTCCCTGGGCCACTTCCTACCAGATCCAACAGATAAGCGTCCCACATAACTGGTGTGTCCTCTGGCTCCTCAGGGGCCACATATCCCTGGGAATCTGCAAGGGTTGTGCCCCAGCCATTGTCGGGGACTCCGCTGCTCTCAGCTAGGTGGCTAGCGGCGGCGGTGGCGGCTGCTGCTGCTCTGAAGCTACAACCAGAGATCCTTCTCCCCTGCCAGCCCGCCCAGACTGAGCCTCTCCCCATGCTTTTATACCTGGGCCACAGTCTGAGCATGCCCAGCAAGGCTACAGGGGCATGGCTCCTTCAGCCAGGATAGCCTGGCTAAACCCTGCTTGTTCAGTGTGGGGCTGGTACACCCCATCACACCATCCTAGAAAGTCCGTTTTGTGCATCTTCACTCAGTGGTGCTGACATTCTCCATGACAGATGTATAAGTAGTTAACATTGTCCATGAGTTTGTGGTAAATGGCAACATAACAAACCTTTGCATGATAGCAGGGGAGCTGACAGCCTCGCTAAGCCCCTGGAGAAGATGGGGGGAGGGAGGTGCAGCACCCCCCCCCCCTCCACTGCCCTCAGCACTGTCTGGAACGTGCTGCACAGTGCCCCAGCCTTCCTAGGCAGTCTTGAGAGCTGCGTGGAATGTGCCACATGGCACTCCGGCAGGTATTTATAGAGCCTAGGGCTCCAGCTGCTAGTAGTTGCCACCTTTGCCCCACCCTCTGTCGACAGGCCTGCATGATAGTTACCCCCTTCCAAATAAGTCACAACACAGAAGCTCCAAGCAACATTCCTGAGACCAATAACAAAGGCTGTGGTATACTGTTGCAGAGCCAGAAAGAAACAGATAATTGAGTCTGAATTGTTAAGTAGCCACAAGTCCAAAGGCTGTCAATGGGAGCAGGGCATTAGAAAAGGACCAGTGAATATATGGATAGTGTTTGTGCTGCTTTTTTGCTTAGAGTGAAAAACGTGTCCTCAGAAATGAATGACTGTGACTGACCTCCAGCTATTTGTTATTTTCTGAGAAATGCAAGACAAGTGTAATTTTTGGGGTTTTGTATCTTAAGGACATTGGAAGCTGGGAGCATATGTTAAACCCTCTGAGACCTTCACATACAAATGGAGAGTGCCTGAAAATGTAGGACCAACTGCTAGCGATCCACAATGCCTGACCTACCTGTACTATTCAGCTGCTGATCCAGTCATGGACACCAATTCTGGCCTTGTAGGACCTTTAATCATTTGTAGAAAGAACACTTTGAATCATGATGGAACACAGGTACTAATTGTGATGTGTTTACCTGTCCTGAATGTCATGATTAGGTGACTTGTGGAGAAGTTCACATCCAGGTCTGATTTGCACAATGTACCCTCGGCCCAATTAATAAAACATGGGAAAGGGTAAACAAATTCCATTCTTCCAGGCGGAAGCTTATCAGTAGAGGTCATGAAGAAGAAAATTGACTTTGCCCACTAAGCTAAGTGTATAATTATTGCTTATTTGATTTTTCATTTTCCTTGTAGCACAACATGTGTTTGTTCCTATTGTTATGCAGATTTGCTTTAGATCCAAGCTATGAAGTCCTGATCTGGCTCTGAACTTCTCCGTAGTTGAATGTGTTTTGACCCAGCATTGACATTGGGGCCAAATGAAAAGTTTGGATCCAGATTCACATCTGAACATAATTTCTGGGTGTTCACATCAGAGGCTTTGGTTTATGCCAATCTGTGTGAGTCTCTGTGTAGGAATTAATATGTAATTCAGATAGCAAGGTGATGAGTGCAGTATAAGAAGCTATACAGACTAAAGTAGTACATGGGTCCTTTTTCTAGGATTCATGAACAGCCTACCTTCCTTTATGGCTGAATAGAAGAGGTGCTGGTGTGACATAGGGTTCTGGTTTGAAGAAGGTCGAGAACCAGGGAAGCAGAATGTTCATTTTCCTATCACCAAGTACACAAGAGAAAAGTTTTTACTTGTGTATCCTGCAGACACCTTTTGTTTTAATGCATTTACTTCTTCCCTGATTGCAGAAAGGAATAGACAAGGAATTTTATCTGCTCTTCACAGTCTTTGATGAGAATCTAAGCTGGTACCTTGACAAAAATATTGATGTGTTTATTGGGGACCCCTCAAAAGTAAACAAAGAAGATGAGGATTTCCAGGAATCCAACAAAATGCATGGTATGGAATGTGTAAATAAGACTTTCCAAAGGTATTTTAGAAGTTGAAAATGAATGTACAGGAAGTCCCCGAGTTACGCGGATCCGACTTATGTCAGATCCGCACTTACGAATGAGGCTTTTCTCACCCCGGAGGATGCGGGCGGCGGGACCGCCCAGACGCGCTGAGGTCCCGCCGCCCTCGTCCTCCGGGGCGAGAAAAGCTGCTCCGTGTCTCCCTGGTCTGCTGGGGGTGGGGGGCCAGCAGATCAGGGAGATGCGGAGCAAAGCCGCGGAGGAACCGGGCGGCGGGACCG